ACTCGGAGGTTGTTTTCTAACATTGTGGGGTGGGAGCGCTGGCCGGCCTCTGGCATAGGGGGTCTCCGGTGGCGTGTTCACCACTGCAGTCCAGACAGTGTGCTCTAATGCCCGGTGGGCATCGTGATCGTTCATGCTGGCCGCCGCAGTGGCCGCAACGGGGGTCTTCCTTACACGACTATGCAAGGTGACCGAACCCTTGGCAGCGGAAGCACCGCTTCTTCTTGATTTCGAATTTCTCCACCCGTCCAACGCAATGTTGGTCGATCACAAGGCCGTTGTCGAGCAGCCATTGCGCCGCTTCCGCTGAGTCGAACCAGATGCCCATAGATCCGAATGCACCTAGCATTTTGTCTCGTTTCTTCAGCCAGGCGATATCTTCAATTCGGAACCCGTGCCCCTGGAGGTCGTTTTCGTCTATGATCTTCTGGATAGCCCTTTCCTTGTCTCGTTCTAGGTTCAGTCCTCCTGTTGGTACGTGGTGTACGACTGCCCCGAATCGCGGTTTGACTAGCTTAGTCTCGTTGCCTAATTCGTGTAGCCATTCGTTATTTTTACGCGCTGTCTCGGCTGACGCCGGGTCTTTGAACCGGATCACGTATCCAGTCTTAGTAGTACCGATTCCTGCAACCTGCACATCTTGGGTAGAGGGGGCGTTTAACAGCGCCGTTCTGATACGGTTGTTCGCAGCGGGGATAGGCATATATCGGCCGAATCCGTTCACTGTTACTTCCGCTTCGGGAGCGTCAATGGGAGACTGTTGGGTGCTGATTCGGACACAATTCTGGTCTTTATCTGGGCGTTGGCTGTTCGGCTGAGGGTTCCTATTGCCCGCACTAGCCGCTACGGCGGCCCACGACCGAGTCAGGGGCGCCGGCGGCAGACGGTCGAGTTGTGCCCGCAGAGCTTTGACTTCTTCATGGAGCTTCTTGTTCTCTTCCTGGAGTGCACTTTGTCCGCGTTTAACCTCCTGGAGCTCGGTTTTGGTTGATTCTATGAGCGTGGTTTGGCGGTGGACGATGTCTTTCAGCTCGTCGATGAGCTTCCACACCTCCCGCGTGGTGACCCTGCCGGTACTCTCCTCGGGTGCATAGCTCTCATTGTGCCGTCCTCTCTTTCTTGTGACTCGCGTTGCGATGTTGGTCACCCTTGGCTGGAAATTCTCGACCGAGAAATTGATCTCCTGGGTGTTTGTGGGTGTGGCCTCGGGAGGCCCCGCAGGTGGGTCCGCCATCGGTCTGGGGTTAGATCCCGCTCGGTACACAAACCACAATTTATATCGCAATAGTATCAACCAGGTCGTCAATTCCAATTCTCTCTGTAAGTACCGGTCATTAGTCCACAGCTTACAGTCGTTCTCGAAATCGGCTCAATCACTACAGTCATTCTCGAAATCGCCTTGCCCAGTACACACTGAGACTCTCTTTCTCGGCCCCACCGCCAAGGCCTTAGCGCAGATCATGTATTGAGCAGACCACACTTAGTTGAGGACGGTGGTAAAATATATTTGTAGGGTATTGTATTCCCTGCTGTAAGATTGCTGTCTGCGCCTTGATTCCTAGGCTATAAATCACTGTACTATATAAGTCGCAATTTACGACGGCCCTCAACTAAGTGCGGTTGCTCAATAAATGATCTGCGCTAAGGGCTTGGCGGTGGGGTTGGGAAAGAGTTTCTCAGTGTATATTGGTCAAGGCGATTTCGAGAATGACTGTATTTTAGTCCATTGCATGAGTTCATTACTGTACCAAACATAGGGATCAAGCTGTTCAAGTTGTGTCAGGATACATCGGTCCGGCAGAGGACCAGCAACCGACAGATAGCCCTCCCGAGGGGAGATGGTGGGTCCCGGGGTCATTTTTCCGATGGAGAAGTAGAGATATGAATGGACCAATGATTTACTCAAAGAATACACAAGAAGTGGATACTTAATTGTGTACGAAGTACGTAGCTGAACATACTGTACCGACAGATTTGAACTCTTACGTTGCTTCAAGTTCCCTGAGAGCATGGCTAACTAGGATTTCAACTTCGCGTAGAAGCAACAGGTACACATTAACAAAATGCAAGCATTCTAGCTAATTTACTATTGAGTCTGTTTCATGATTCGACAATGCAGCTGGATTGTGGTGAAACCCTCACTACTTCAAAGCCATCTTCCTGAACAGCTTCACAGATGCTCCGGAGTCAGAATTTCTTGAGTACTTGGTACCGTATGGATTCCTTCGGATTTGGATTCATCTTGAGTCACCGATCTACTGTTATTCAAGACCGACATTTGTCTAGTTTAAAATATGGGACTACTAATGGGTAAGTGGAGAAAATGTATTTCATGAGGCGCGTGTCCACCCTATCTGTCTTTTCAACCAATTCATATGCCATAGCGGAATTGCTTGATATGCTCGACATCAATATAACACATTTGCAGACAATCAAGATTTGGTTGCAGGAATCCAAGTTACAGTCGGTATCTCTGAGACCGAAAGACAGACCGGATCCAGTGGATTTCATACCTTGAGTATTTGTTAAACCTGGCCAAAGGTCTATGAAGCTATTGCTTCCCGGGGTTCATTTTCAAGTTCTCCTCCAAGATCCAATCGTTAAATATTAATACCCAAAGGTAGGTGTTCTATTACACTGAACACTGTGTTACACTAGATACGAAAACCAAATTTTGCAGCCGGACAATATGCTGCTTATATATCCTCCAGATGGCTACCGTTTTAACTGACTCAATACAACGAGTACAATGTATCTACGGAAACCTCTTTTATATACGTTAAGTCTATCGATTTATCTGACCTTGGTAACCTGCCTCAGTGACAACCAGAGAGGTGGCATTTCTCTTTACAACAATTGTTCCTTTCCTTTATATGTTGAAGGGGTAGCAAATACCACATACTTCGATATAGAAATAAAGCCTCAGGGGACATTTTGGGATCGATTTCGCCCTACACATCATGGTACAGGAAACTGTCTCAAGGTATCGACTAGCCGGGGAAGCTCAAAGGTTACCCAGATAGAGTATAGTGCCTGTTTTGGGAATGGAAGCAAAGTCGACTGCCGCTCCGCTAATATGATATATTACGATCTCTCAAAGATTAATGACCCATCCGATGCCGAGTATGGCGTCCGGATTGAACCTAATTTTGCTTGGTGCGCGACGGTCGATTGCCCCATGCATGTATATCGATGTGAATCAACATATTACCAGCCGGATGATAATTATGCAACCAAGGCTTGTGATGTTCATACAAACCTGAAAGTCACATTTTGCTAGTAGTTCGATTGGTCTTGAAGCTCTATCGATGACTCTGCCTCCGAAATTCCCGAAATGTATCAAGAAAATCGGCTCTGGCGGCCCTTCACATAAGTTTTTGCACCATTCCAGCGACGTCGAAAAGGCCGGTATTTCTTCTTTTTAACGATCTAGAAAGACTAGAATAATCAAATAAAATCAAACAGAATGCTTCCCCATATGATGATGTTGATACAGTAGTGGTTTTCGAAAACAGATTCCCCCTTTAGACATACACACTTTTTCCCTAAGGCCCACCAATGGTCTTGGCCTAGATCGTCGAAGTTCACATGGTTCCTTTCAGCCACTCACCCGGCTAGATTCTGCGAACTACTACAACATCCCGTTTCCCCACGCCGAAGGTAAGTGACTCTGATTACAGGAATGAAGTCTTTTCTTTTGGCCAATACGGAGAACAGAGGCTTCGGAAATCTGGCTCCTGCTTACGACAGCCGCTACACCATCGTCATATTGAAAGGCTACTAGCAGTGGAACTACCTGAAGACATTCGCTCAACTGAAATAGCTCATATCGTTGCAGAAGTGTTTGAGGACGTACGGGGACTCATATCTGGATGTGGCGATTTGGACACGTGGAGGAAGAGTATTATAGGATACTGCTCCCACCAGGGTACATGCCCCAAGCCAGTATATCCTAAAACGCCCCTCAAAGAAAGCGTGTTAACCCAGCTCGGCCTCCTGGCGGAGTTCCCCATCATCGCTGACTCGGAAAATGATGACGGCGATCACTTTTTCGGAAGAAGTTATCCCACTTTTGTTAGATTCGACGGGTCGGGATACCAGGTTGTCCATTCAAACAGGTTTATTTGAGGTGGGTAAGCACCATTATGATGACGTGCCTATACTATGAAATTATCTTATCCCCGGGGATGCTGACAACTTCACTTTGGCAGTTTACCACTACTCTAACACCTCACCTTGGATCGCATGGGACATTCGACATCACAAGCCATGAGATTCGACTCCAATGCATACTCTGTTTTGTGGTGCAAAATGATAACCTAGATTGGATCAAGGCGCTTTGGGAAGCTTTAAACGCCAATCGATATTACAACCTTGAGCAAGACATAGAAACTGGGGTATATAGCTACAAATGATTCTCAAAGAGCCGGGGTGCAAATAGCTGGTCACCTTCATATACTGTTTTGTCCCCTGCTCATTTGTGCTTCATGTAATTAAACGCCTTTCTAGTTGTATCCCACGATTATATAAATGCAACAACTTCTTGGAGGCTGATGTCCTACAGCATCTTGCTGGCTTCAAATTCCACTCGAGCTTTCCGTGCAGCTGTGCAAAAGTCGAAGACCTATGCTGTGGTCGCAATAAAGTTTTAGGTGTCTTTAAACCTGCCGAGTCTTCAGTCCCCCGGGACTAAAGACGCCTGAGGACTATAGTAGATGTCGAAAGCAGATTACCCCATAGACACTCAGGCCTTCTTTCTCAGTCCCAGCTTCGATCGCCTTAAACCGAATTCGGTCGGGGCTTGTCCCAACCAACTTTGCGGATGTACTTCTGGTACACTCTAATGAAGAGTGACTGTACTGTTTTCAAGCCACTATCTGCAGCTAATCTGAATATTCAGTAGCGCGTCTTAGGTTAGGGTTGGAGAATTTTGTGAGTGGACGAAAGGGAATCTGGTACTAGGCACTAAGTTATATTACTTCAACTTCTGCCAGAGACTATCATGTAAACACGCACGAGCTCTGGTAGACCTGTTCGTTTACGGAGCACCTCACAACTTCTCATCTTACTTTCCTCCCCTCGGCTATTCTCTGCCTGACAAAATTATCGTGATCAGAGGTGCCATTTTTCGCCACTAGAGGAGGGCCTCTGCTCATGTCCGATAACTCCTCTAACCACGGGTAGGTAGATATTAGCTGTGGACTGCGAGAAAGGGAAATGATACAGCCGAAAGTACTACCTGGTGGCCGCGAAGCAGAAGGTATGTTGCGGTGATCGTCGGTTCTTTCGTGTGGCCCGCTTGGGATCTCATCGCCTGTCCAACCAGAGGCTTGCTCCAGGCTCAGGTTGACTAAGCGCAGATCTTCGCTGATGTTTGGTCGCGTCACGTGGTCCACTTCCATTTGGATGAATTCGCCCGCACATACTGCAAAAGCATCAGTGATCGAATGCAAAAAAGGGCGGAGAGGAATGCAGAAGAAAAGTCAGCCTCATGTTTATTAGAACAATATCATTTACGGCGACATCTGTGCCAGGGCACCCTACCAGCGATTATCATCTTCCCACATTGGCTATCAATGTACCCCTCGACCTCCCTCGCTGCGATGAGGTCTTCGAATAGAGACTGAATACGCCTTGATTGCGGAAATCGCCCGTGGGACTCCTGAGGAGCATCTGGACAGTAGATCCGTATTTGTAAAATCTGCGAGTTGTTAGCGGCACGACTACTCAGAAAGCGATGCCCGCTTACGTTAAACCCTCCGGTCCCATCAAGCCCCGTTTGCTGCTGACCTATGCTCGCTGAACTAACCGAGGCTTGCGTATCCCCAGAGTTCAGGGCAGGATTGCGCTGTCGGTCGAGTTCAAAAAGATGCTGGATGCTGTCCCAGACCCACGACTTATATCTGGACCGCTCAAAGATCCCTGGGACATGATTAGCCGAAACAGATGCTTTAACTATTCTGGGCTCGACAAGAAGCTCCAGTTCAACGATACTGCTCCAATCCACCGCCCACAGAATCTCCAGCTTCCGCACTACTGTCTCTCTCCTGCGACTGCTATGAACCAGCTGTTGAATGAAGGGCAGAATTCGAAACAGGCCGATATCTTCAACCACAAACAAGACCGTGCCGTAGTTTCCAAAGCAGGGCGGGTGTCTAAAGGGTCCGAACATGAAGACCGGGAAGCTAAAATTGGCCTTCACCGCCTGTAAAGCGAGTCTCTTGGTGAGACCTCGGCGGTAGTGCACGAGAAAGTGTAGACGGCGGTTGGAAGTGTGAGAGCCAATATTTTGCTGTTGCTCTTCTTCTTCTCCCACATACGCCACATAGAAAAGCGGCAGATGGAGCCAAGAGCGATACCCCGATCGCGGCATCCACAGTTGTACATGCTGACCGGCCTGGATATTCCACTGTCGGGGTGCCGAGATCTCGAGCCAGAGGAGTTGTTTGGATACTCTTGCCTCAGCTTGGAGCCGGACGTCTTTCCAGGACCGAAGCGCGCTCATTGTTTGTGCCCACAAAGCCCCACATGACATGGCCCACTGGCCCGCCGCGCTGACCAACACCCAGAAGTAGACTGATCCAGCAATTCGCAGATGGTATGCGAGCAACGCTGTGCCGTAGATTGCCAACAGATAGTGAAGTTTGAGCATAAGCTGAGGATGGCGTCGCAGCATTACGGCAAGTGTAATTGGTAGCATTGCAAGAAAGCTAATCACTGCCTATATTCCATAAGCTTCTTGAATGTGGCGCCTAACGGAAAACGATGAACAAAGAGATTTAAATAATTACCCCGAATGCGGTCAAAAGAGGACCTGATAATGGTGTCGACCGTTGGGCGAGTTCTACTATCATGGTGCCGTGGAGGGCGCAGTGGACAAGACATACCCGACCCACCCAGCGGTGGACCCACGCTAGGGTATCCCGGCTTAAGCGACAGAGACTGGATATCTGGCTGAACGTGGGCCCGGCAAATAGTGGAAACAAGTAGATGACGGCCATTGAGCCAGCCCTCTTCTGCACTTCGGCAAAAGAGTGAGCGGCAAAGACCAAAACAACGACATTCGATGCCAAGAGGCCAGTTAGTAGGAGACAATGTACATATGACAGGATATCTAGACGATATAGGATGCTGGGCACTGGGGACTGAAGGAATCGCCTCCAAGAGACCGCACGTTGCAACTTCAGGGACTAAGCTAGACAATCCCGTCCAATGCGATAAAGCAGACAAGCCAAAAGGATTAGAGCAACACAGAGACCATACTTTCCAGGGAGGGAGACCCTTGAGAGCTAGTGAGCGAGTTTAACGGAAACTGGGGCCATAGTGTGGTCGCACGAAGGTATTGCCGGAAGAGAAGGATGTTGATGCTTTCGATGCTTTTATATGAGGCCTTCGTTTGTTTCGGTTTCGAGTCAAAGCCAAGCTTGCTCGTGACACTCCGCTCCGCTCTCTGGGGCTGCTAGAAATCTCTATCGGCGAAGACTGCGCGTGATGCATTTACAACTGAAATCGGGTAAAGAGACGTGCCATGATAAGCCTACTAAGTCTATCAGCCTTCGAAGCCTCATGAAACAGCCGCATGTGGAATAGAATCATGAAGCTAACTAACTGCGGTGGAATGATCCATGATATTTGGGTAATTGTCGTCTTCACTTCCACATGCCAACGGCAATTCACTCCGACGGGCAATCCTTCTGAAAGAAATACACACCACAGAGTTTCGGGGACGAATCAGTGCATGCAAACTCGCGATCATTCTATCTTGTCATGAGTGAGGTCATGCGAAATATTTTACGAAGTGTGTCAAATGTTGGGTTGCACAGAATATGTTTGGAAGATAATTTGTAGAAAGAACATTTGACCGGTGATGGTTTACGCTAACCCACTATTTACAGACAGGCTATATACTATTTTCTGTAGAGCTAGATCCATGAATTTCGGGACCGTTGGATACGAATAACCCTCCACTCTCGCTTCCAATTTTGTTCTGCCTCAAGCTCTCGCCGTTTAGATTCGTCCAGCGAGGCCTTCAAAGCTTGGATTGCTTGTAGCAGGCGGATGTTGCCCACTGGATTCACCTCAGGCTCAAAGTGATATTGCAGTATGAGCTGTTGGGAGACCTCTAATGCTGCCTTTGACAGACTGAGAAAATTTTCTCGGCAAGAAGCGTAAAATTCGTTTTCATGCCTTTGCTGTTCCCACTGGCGAAGCTTACTGTCTCGAAGCTCGGGTAACGACATTCTGTGTCTGCTCTTGGACCGCTGCAACCGAGATCGCGTAGTTTCTAAGGCTATACTGGTCCCGTGAGACATTGCAAGTTGGTGATCAAGGGTGTTGATCTCAGGAAGGTTGAACTTGAAAGGAGGTATTACTTCCTCTAGTGATGGCAGTTTCGGCGATTCAGGCGACCGGCTATAGACACTGGAAGCATCATCCTTCGATACGAAGGGATCGGACATGTTGACAGGAACGTGTGAGCTGTGAAATCGGCTGTGATGACTCTTCTTACTGGAAATTATATATGACAAATTCATTCGTGCGCAACTGTAGGAATGGCCACCTTATTGTGAATGCCATGGTTATTTTTCAGGAGACCATCATCCAGTTAACTTGCTTCTAATCACCTTGCCTCATAGAGGTCGCATAATGATCCGCTGACAGTCATGCTTGAACGTTCAGAAAACTTACGGTCTGTCTTGGTTTGGGCAAAACTGTGCTGGGAAGCGAACTGAGTTTAAATTTCAACATGTAAATAATTCATGCATTGTACGACTACAGCAATGGCACAAGACTCACTCGAACCCCAACAAATCTATTATGTTCCTGACAACACCGAGCCCCTCAAGAACCGTTACTAGCGCAAACATATTCGTTCTAGATATCCGACTAACATCCGACAAACCATCCGATAGAAGAAGCAGTGGAAGTGGAAACTCAGATAGCGTATCCTCGGTATAGAGAATGTGTAAAGATGGAAGGTTCCATGCAGAGATTCCGTCCAAAATGTACAGATGACCGTAGCTTAACTTGGTGGTGTGAGGATTGAGTGTAGTCATTGAACCATTTAGATATACAACATCATTCGTAAACGGTATCTTATAATTACTATCTCTTATGAAATGCTGGAACGGGCACACTAAAATGCGGTGTCTTTACTAGGTCAGTTTTCGGAGGCCAGACTTGCCCTGGTAAGACAATTCGAACGGAGTTTCCACAACGACTCACGAAGACTCACAACCGCCTCCTCTTTTCCCCAAGGGGGGTTTCGGCGAATGCGATCCGCCTCTTGGTTCCACGGCGACAGAAGCATTGTCTTGTAGGCGGCCAGGCATCAGTCCGGTGATCTGAACGGCCAAAGGAACTCTGCACTTGTTGCTCATCCAAGAGCTTTTGAACGGATTTAGGAAAGCCTCCCAGTCGCGTCTGAGACTCGGTATTTCCAACTTGGATTGTGAGGGTTTCCTCGAGACTAGTGACCGTGAATGATACTTTCTTGCGATAGTATCCACAGTCATGACAGCCATTGTCCTCTCCAATTGAACCCAGAGGCCCTTGACGGTCAATCTGGAACTCTGCGCCCGGGATTTCAGCAAGAATCCGACCGATCATCTTCCGAGGTTCTGTGCTCCTGCAGAGGATTGAACCATCACAGAAGATCATCCCCTGTTTCACCGTTGGACATCCATCAAGTTCGAAGAATAATGTCCCTGTCACCAAGACGGCCCGAACTAACTCATCTGACACACTGAATGATGACTCAGCCTACGGAGGTTAATAACCATCACGAGTGCAAAAACCCCAGAATCCAATATGATTGGGCAATCTGTATACCGCCTCCTTTTCCGCCCGCAGTGTTTATCCTGTTCGCCTTACCCTAATTAGGTTAGCCAGCATGGAGTGGAACAGGCTTACCGTTCCAGGTCGGAATACTGTGACATAATCCACAGGCGAATAAAACACCCCAAAACTCCATACTAAATGCGATAAATAACAACTTCATATCTCAAAAGCCGTGGGTCTTTCGGATAAAATATGAGGCTTGTATAACCTCGATAGCGTTTCTGACCTACTGGTGCATTGAGAGTTTACTTTTAGAAAACTCATGGCGATATATATATCCGTGTCTCAAGGTCAAAATGATACTGTATTTTATGGTAACGCGTCGAAATAATGCTCTCACTAGCTCAAAATCTAGGCATATTATTCTTTTTGCTTAGAAAACTGTTAATTCAAAATTTAACAAAAATAAAGCGCTGGTGGTTGAGATATAGAGGAATAAAAATGTAGCATTGGATATGGTATTTTATAGTTTCACTTGCCTATAAATTACATTACTGAATCTCCGATTCAGTACGCTACTGTAGTGTAGTGTACAGTATACAAGACCGTATGACTATGTATTTTTCAGAAGCAGACAATCCTTTCTTTTGATTTTAACATAGTGCAATTCCTACTGTTCTGTGCTCACATGAATAACTTCTATTTTCCCATGCCACGCCCTCAAATTGACCTGGAGCCTTACAGGGAGGAGATTACTCTCTTATATTCTCAGAATGCACGTATTGCCAATATCCAGACCATCATACAAAGCCACGGCGTCAATATCTCACTCCACACGCTCAAAACTCGCCTTTCTTCCTGGGGCCTACGGCGCCAACTACCTAGCCAAAATGAAGCTTTGCACGCTCGCCTTCTCACACTAATTACCGAGGCAGGTTTATCGGCTAGAGAAACACTCGAAGTGCTACAGAAAGAGGGATTCCGGGTCTCTGAACCTACGCTTGAAAGGTTACGAAAACGGCTTGGAATTCAGCTTCGTACAAACTGCCCGCTTCAGCGGCAGCAGCAACGGCTCGAAATCGAGGTTCTCTTGACTGAGGAGCTTGGAATTGGCGATGTCGAAGGCTATGGGCGTCGGATTCTCTATCACCACCTTCGCCGGCATGGTTTTCTTTTCCCACAGCACCGAGTATTCGAAGTCTACCGCTCTCTTCGCCCTGACTCACTCCTCCGCCGATCATACGATCTCCAGCGCTCCCGCGGCGAGTATTGGTGCCCTGGGCCGAATTTCGTGTGGCATGTGGATGGTTATATGAAGCTAGCGCAGTTCGGGGTTGAGGTTTATGCTGCCATTGATGGGTACTCTCGGTATATTCTCTGGATATACGTGGGAATTAGTACTCGTACCGCAGTGAGCGTTCTCTCTTAGTTTCTTGACACCCTCGCCGACCTCTCCTACCAACCGGAGATTATTCGGTCTGACCTCGGCTCGGAGACCTCCCTTATTGGGGATGCATAATGGGCGCTGCGGCAGGTGTTCGATCCAGAGGCTGCCCATGGAGACTGTTTCTGGCTAGGGCGAAGCACAGATAACCAGAGAATAGAGGCTTGGTGGGCGCAGTTATCTAAGTCGTGTACTTTTCTCTATTACCAATATTTCCGGGAGCTCCGGGAACAAGGTAAGTCATCCTGCCCACTATCCGCTGCTGGTACTAATCCTCTATAGGTCTCTTCTCCGGCTCTATCCCTGAGCAGGTCGCCCTTCTTGCGGTTTATATGCCTACGCTCCGCCGGGTTATTGGTGAGTACGCTAAGACCTGGAATATTCATAATATCCGCAAGCAAAAGTCACGGCCGAACGCCGTTACTGGGAAGCCTTTTATGAATTATTTTAATGCGTCTAAGCCGGATTACTAGCGCGCAGTTGATCAGATGCTGCTTCGCGAGCTCCAGGAGGACGTCCGGGACTGGGATAAAGATGAATATTTACCCCCTGATGTCCTTGCTTGGTGCCACCAGCAGCTTCAGGAGATTGGAGCCGAGCTTTATGGGCCTGGAAATGGCTTCAATCCTGATAATCCTCCGTCTCGTGTTCCAGAGGAAGTTAGCCAGCCTTACCGGGTCGAATATCTCGAACTCCGCCGCCGTGCTCTTCTTTATGACCAATTAGATGAACATCCAGTGCTCTGTCTTACTACGAAACCCCTCGGTGCATGGGATTGGGAGCCTGGAGAGGCACAGGAAGGCTAGTTTTCAGCACCTCTCTGTAGGATCTCGGCCCAAGATCTAAATTCAGGCTGATCAGCGTGTGCTACCGCGCTCTTGGGATTTTACGATAGCTAATTAGTATCCACGAGGTAGGGGATCGACGGAGGTAGTTCGGTATATAAACTTTCTTACGTATACATGTCTCAACGCTAAAAGACCAGGTTATCATAGTGCTACATAAAGTGTTAAACAGGGGAACTTCCGTCCTGACTAGTACTAAAGTGAGTAGTATTAAATATGCCTATTTGAATGTGGGTGAATTGAAGATTGTGAGGTCCGTTGGATGATCCTCCGGGGTCTGCCATAGCGTGTTACATGCTATACTTCCGGAGCTATCCGGATTGCTATTAAAATCTAATGAAGGCGTGGAAGCTGAGTAAGCCTGTCTTTGGATCCCTTGTGGTAAGATATCTGCGCCTTAGTTCGTCATAAAATCTTCGCTAAGTACTAATTTTACAAGAGGAAATTCATTCAGTTTCAAGATAACTCGGCTCCTTCTTATATTTAAATTATTTTTGTACCTGATATTCTTCCTCAGAAACCCTCCCACTTGTGTTTCTATGGCTAACTACCGGAATACCCTGGCCCATCGTACCGGGGAAGATGTTTTTGCTTATGGTCCTATCTCTACTGCCCAGATCACCTCCCCTACGTATAGTACGAGCTCTTCTATACAGAATTTATCCTCTTCGGCCAGGGCGACGCTATACCAGAGAAGCCTCATTACCCCAGAACCACGCTTCCAGGCCTTATCAGGGACGACAAATGAGATACGGCAGCGCCAGATCCAGCAGCAGTCGATTTAGCGCCAATTTATTGGTGGGAGAAGCTCTGGAGGTAGCCGCCTCAGTCGAGGGCGGCCTCAAGTTCCTACAGCACCAGCAACGGTCTCATTAATCGTCCACTGCTATTTATATTGGTACTTGGGGTCGGGAAAGCCAGATAGGCTTGAAAAGCTAAGTATGGAGAGATCGCGCGGCCAAGAGAGAGATATACTAATTTGCCTCGTTATGAGTAGCTACAGTTACCCCAATCCTTACACCGGGTACTATCAATAGCTTCGTCGACTTCATCGAAAATGAGCTCCTAGTGGAGCTCGATCCTGAGGATTACACGCGTGAGCAAGGAGATACATTTCGATTTGCAACTGTAGTTAAGAATAAAAAGGAGCCATGGTTCCTAGGCATGCGGGAAGATCATGAACAGCTCCTCACAGACTTCTGTACGAAATTTACCAAAATCAAGGATAGTTATGAGGTCTTCCTGATTATCAAGAGAAAAAGACTTGAACCAGTGACGATAAAGCTTGAAGCTGAAGCTCCTGTGGCAGCAGGAGCTCCAGCGCCATCTCCTCCGCCCTCAGAGGTATCTATCTCATCATCTCTCCCATCGCTAGGAGCAATTATCAGGTCATTATCACCGCGGAGAGCTGTGGAGTTTACTCCGCCGCCGGCGCAGCCAGCGGCGCTGCCGCAGCGGCGAAAGCGAGCTCGTGTGCCGCCAGGGATCTCTCCACCACGTACCCGGCGGAGATACCAGCTGCGAGAGTCGGATATGGAGAGAATGACTGCGTCAGGACCTGTTTCGGAGACCTGGAGGGCAAACAGCGGGTAATTAGCATATGACATAGATGACGGAGTGGAAGGACTGGAGAGGATGTGTCATTTCGTGTTATATTTTTCGATTTTGAGACTCAATCAACTTCAATTTGCATGTCTTGACTAGTCAGGAAGAGAAGAGAGTTGCTTTTTAGCGAAAACACGTTATTTGGAAGAACTCAGCTTGTTTTAGTGCTTCTTGGGTAGAGAAGGGCAGGAAGACGAGTTGGCAGATCAACAGGACGTTAGGTCTGTTTGTAGGTGCTGGATAAACTAAAGCCTAATTAGGCATAATTGACGCTCCCTGGTATTACGCTAGTTGTAATAAGGCTAGACTGGTACCAGCATAACTATCCACACCACAGCTAAGTGGGCAAAACGGGAATTCTGCCGGACAAAAACAACCATTGGTCATTTTTGCACTCGTGATGGCTATTAACCTCCGTACTCAGCCAACTCATCCAACTTTTCCACGTCGTCCAACCACGGAAGCGGTCCGTGGAGCAATTGATTCACACGGTAGATGTCCGCCCGCATGTGGCTGGAAACATAGTTCAGCGCCTCGAGAAAGGCCTGCTCACCGTCCATGGAGGGGGACGATACGGTGGCTCGAATCAAGCGAGCAACGGCCCCGTCCTGCAAGATGCCACCTGGCCCCTTGTGGCGGGGCTGTTGGTCCGGCGCTGTATACCCCGTGCCCACTGAAACCAGCAGATCGGGCTTGTTTCGACCAGGCCAGATAAGAGTGGACTCTTTCAGGGCGATCGACAGCGGGTTGTTCGCTCGTACTCCTCCGTCTTGCAGCGGGCCGAACCCAGGGAGGTTTTTAGTTCGGAAAAACCTAGATGTATCAGCGTTGTCCGCAACTGGTCCGTTTTGCTCTTACCCTGGTGCAGCCACGCTACATCGTGCACTAGAAGACAGTCAGATTGATTCTACCCATGATAATGGCCTCACAGAAATAGAGGTGATCACGTACACTTCCCACAATAATGGATTTTCATCTTGGCTTCGAGGAATCAAGAATTCGTACGCCGACATCCCCGTATGCCGACCAATGCCACGGTAGTTGGCCACCAGGCAGGCTTTTCCGTCCGAGATTCGGCTGGCAATGATCGCTACCCGACTCCTGGTGCCGCATGTTGTTTCGACGTCAAAAATTCTGCGATCCGGCCCTAACGCAGCCTTCAGGGTTTCATCTAGCATATGATCATCATACTTCCCATCCAGGAGAAGACGCTTCAAACCAGAGATCCAGACTAGGCATTTGAGAGCTTGAACCGGCTTTGCTGGCTGCTGGAAAATCTTTCGTGCGAGGTCGGGGAATCGGCGGAAACTGCTGTCTGCGGTAGAATGGTTGAAGACCAAGTCCATGATATTCAAAGCCCCTAGGGAGAGTGTCAGGAAAACGCGACTCAAGGCCAGCTCAGCAACAGCGAGGCAAACTGAAACTTCGAACATACCCACACTGGTGCCTACGCACAAGTCAAATACTCCTGTCAGAAGATTCCCACCCGACCGTTTCTCTAAAGACCGAAGCAAACCAAGCTGCTCAATTCCACGAATGCCGCCGCCGTCGAGGCTCAATATATTCGGCCCTTTCGTTGGTGGCACCTGTCGCACTGCCAGATGAGCCTCGGCTCCGCACATCGGGCACTGTATGACCTCGAAGTAGTGCTCCGCGGCTGAGCTTTTGGACCCAAGTATTACCACGCAGTTGTCGCATATCGCATGTCGACAAGCCAACATATGTTCCGGTGCCCGGGTCAGGCAGAAGAAGCAACTGGTGGAGGAGTACAAGCCTCCCCACCGTCGGTGAAATCTGCTTAGGACGCGTCGTCGAACAGCCGCAGATGGGGTTACTGGATCGGTTGATTTGAAAAGATCCGTGAAGCTAGCCAGCACTCCATCGCAAAACTCGGACGGGCTCACACCAATACTCTGCGTGGTCCACGCAGCTGTATAGTCACTTTCGTACAGCGCATCAAAGACGTGGTTTGGATTGAAAGCTGAGATTGTCAGCCAAGAAAGCCAGAAAGCTAGAGACATGCCGGCCATGGGATAGGCGAGGTAGGGTCGACAAGTAAGGGAATGGGCAGACTCACAATGCATCCCTGGCGGATAGGCGTCCATCAAAATGGCCGAAGCGACAAACGTATTAACATCCTCAGCCTCGCAACCGATTTTCTGAGCTTGCCTCAAGAACTCCACAATGCATGACTTTCTACTCAGCGATGATAGATAATTCTTTCGCGCTACGCGGAGACAATCAAACGCTGCAGTGTCTAGTCTTCGCATCTTGGTTTCCAAGTTGCTTTTCCAGAGTGCACAAAGATGAGTAGCAGAGAACAGCACTCCATCCTGTGTCTGTTCAATCCGAACTGACTGAAGTTTGTCAAGAATAATGCCGCGCAATGGCTCAAAGGCAGCTATGGGGGACAATTCGGACCGATCTCGTAGATCTACAAATGTGACTTCAGGAGCAAGCACGTCACCGGAATGGTCCTGCGGCACTGCCGCGGCCAGCTCGTGTGGAGCATAGTTTTGAGAAGTGGTGAGAACGATGAGAATTCTCAAGCGAACGGTAACAGAATGGGACCCCACCTGTATCTTGTGAGGGGGCTGATCAAGCAGCCGCTGAAGCTCTTGTATTTCAGACACACTATCTACGAAAAGGCAGAGGATTTGCGTCCAGGGCAAGATAACCTGTGAGATTATATGTAGGTTCACGTCTGCCGCCGAACCGCTTGTCCGTTGGGACACTGAGTATTGCCGAAATCTATGATCGGAATTCCTGTACAGTGCTGGGTCCGCACAGCCGGAGCTATTATAGGCACCACATTCGGCGAAGAGCACCGGATGGTCCTTTCCAGCAGTTTCCGTGCTCAAGTGTAGCCGCATGAGAGCAGCGGGGCCTCTGCGAGTGACATTGTTATGAGGAAAGAGGGCCCGAAGCGCCCTGACCCGATTTCCGTTTCCAGCGAAACAAACCAAGCAGGGATACTGAGTATCGGGATGGGTCATCCACTGCACCAGTGCTTCCAGCCGACCAGTATCCGTCAGGGCCCAGCCCGAGTTCCCTCTGGCGGTGTCGAGCCAGGCTGCCATTGAGTAGGAGTGGTAGGGAAGGAGCTTCCGTAAAAAAGTCACGGCGAAGGCATGAGACAGGGTGCACTTTATACTACATCTTAAATGACTGTTCTCTGGCCTGGAGTTTACCTCGTTGGAGAACACTCCAAAGTGACTGTTCTCCCGCAGCTTTTGTGACGCTGCAGTCGACAATGGGTAAGTCATAAACCGCCCCCATAAGGAATTGATAATAAACCTTAAGAATTTGACAGACTGGGAATATATATCACCGGGCCAGACGACAGCCGCCAACAGCCCATCTGCCCGCCCTCACTTCTGGGCTACCGTCTTGATCGCCCTCGGATGCCGACCTCTGAAAAGTACGTCTATTGATCCGCTTTGCGACGATGCAAATTCCCAATTAAAACGTCTTATTCCCAGTTGTGGGTTTGAAGGACCTTGGTCGGTAGTATTAAAACCCTTCAACTCTTGAATTCCGTATAGTAGTCCACATCATGGCTACTCAGACTATCCGCTCTCATAGCAGTGGGCAGCACATTCGCGCAAGCACTGTCCACCGTCGCACAAGCAAAGGGAACGAGTACACGAAAATGCTGAGAGAAGAAGCACAGATGGATTGGAGGTTCAACCTTTCCGCCAACGCAGCTAATTGGGTGCTGCTTGCGGGATATGTGATCATCCCGGGCACGTTCACGTCTTTGAAAAAGTCGAACGAAGTCCAAGATGTACTCCAAAAGAATGGGGCAGGTCGGGCGGCGCTGAAGACGATTCAGAACCCTCCCCTCCTTGTCATTGCGTTTCTCTTCCTCATTACTGGGGGTGCCATGTTGGGCTGGCTCTGGGTCAAGTTCAAAGACAATTATCCCTGGCTCATCAACAAAATCTTTCTGTAAGGTCCCTGCGCAGAAGCCCGTTTTCCAGAACTGAGAAAAATTCACAGTCCAGCTTGCCTTAACGCGACTGCAGGGTTGCTGACGACAGCCGTCAATATTTTGGCTTCACAATCCGGAACCTGCTCTGTCATGGCTCTGACGACGATTATTGTGACAGCAGTGACATTTGTGCTGTTCGGCGTCTCGTTAATCGTCTACAAATTTTTCAAACTGAAACGGGTTTTGAACGATGATCAGCTCGAGGTCCAGGCTGCCCTGAGGAATCGAGGGCATCCTAGCCTGCGATCGGCTTTAGACCAGGCCGAGGCTATTTTGGATGGTCATCGATTGGTAGCTTTGCAAAAAACAGTTACAGAAGCTCTCGCTCTTTCTGCGATCTTAGATCAATGGGACACCTATAGGGCCGACGTTATCGAAAGCAAAGTCAACCAATTGTGTCAATATCTTACCGAACTTTGCCTGGCACATGTGAATGACAGTTCTTTGGACCAAAACAATCTACAGGGTAGATCAGGGCCCCTTGTGTGATTTTCCTGCACACGGCCCGCATTTCTACTGTACGGCACCATATTGTCTACAATTCAAGCCGATACAGCTAAATTCGAAATTGCCTTCCACATTTTACACAGAGAAACTATCTGGGACCCTAGCACTAGGGCAATAACGGATCCAGCTATACTGCTTCGACCTATGATATGGATCGAACCCCGGACTGTCTAGCCGAAATTGGAATGCTATGTCTTGGCTCAGGGTTCTAGAACAAATTTCTATGTGGAGAACATGGAAGGCAATTTCGAATTTACCTGTAGCACTGTACTCTTCCGATAGAGAAATCAGTTCTCGATCGCGTCTTCTGCTGTGTGGATACAGAGTTGTTGAATATTACTCATCGACACACTCTTTCAGAGGATGCGCTATCGGCTGTCTTCATGCAAACACCTAGTATGCAAATCAGTAGTCTATTTAATTGACAATCTAGTTTTCAGAGACATAAATAACAATGAAAATGGCTAAAGTTACTAGAGATAGCTCACCCTAAAGCCAGGT